ACAAGCTGCAAAAGAAACGTTATTATTATTACTATTATTTAATCGAGTATCTCCCACTGTTTATGACATTTTCCCCTTTTCGCGCAGTCACCACTACCCGCAAATAACCCTATCACACCCCATTCTGACTGTAAACGCATGATCATTCCAGACAGCATGCCACCCACAAGTTGGGAATAAACGTTATCATTACCATTATCATTACCACTTTGATAAATGAGCTAAATGTCTATTCGCTGGACACCGACACGCTTGGACCTGCCACCTTCCTAAGTACCCACTGGATGCAAGTGGACCAATAGTGCACAATGCAGATTGGTTCACTTAGAATGGCGCAACAAAGTGTTTAGAAGGTTGCCTTTACCACGCTGATGGCCTTAAACATGCCAAGGTTTGGACCTTCTGGCAGAGCAAGTAGCTCATGCAAACACTCGAGATGCACCCACCCACCACTACGGCATTCAAGAGTTTATGGGGAATATAGATTTGTAATTTGTATGGTGTCGGCGAAATCGAATTCAGTTAACCTCTAGAGATCAGCATCGATGGCCTCAAGCTTGCCCTTTTCAAATTATATGATCTTCAGGGTAGTTTGGGAGCATCCTCAAAGAAAATAATCCAAACACTAATATCTGCTTTCCTCCCGGAAACCACATGCTCCTCTCGACTTGTCGTTTCTCAGGCAGCGGAACGACATTTTGTAACGGGATATAAGACTCTAGAAAAATCGGACTTGTTGGTGGGTTTCTGAAACTTTGAGAATGACGAGTAAAATTAGTTCATTTTCGGAATGGCCCATGATAAATGGGAGTTCGGATGTGCTGATAGAAGCTAACTACCTGGTTTCGCAGGGACGACGTCCCGATTAGCTCCAGAATAAACGTACCGCTGACCAAAATGTAGGTAACATTCATGTGGATGAAAGAGTTAAACATTCGTCAGTTCGAAGGTGCCATGTCTTCATCTGAGTTCCCATGGATCCGAATTCCACAAGCCAAGAGGATTTTTAAAACTATCCAAAATGCGCCGCATAACATGTGTCATCACAAGTAGATTGATATGAATGATTTCTCAACTACTATGAACACTATAACTCCAGCAAAAGCGGTCATCAACAAAAGTTGAAAGCTGCAGATCAGTTTTCATCTGTCAATGGCGGTACCCGACTGATAAGTCCTGACAGGCGAGACAAAGGATCGTGATAACCTGGCAGGTACTGAGTCGTCGTTCGAGATGTCGAGCACACTAATCTGACTGCTCGGATGTGAAACTTTTATCCTGTCAGGACCTCAGGACTCAGACGCAAACAGCGCGCTTTGATAACAAGCCCAACCTGAATGTAAGATATTTGGATTTCAACCCGCGTACGAGGCCAGGCATATGCACCGCGGATGAGCTCTGATAATAAATCCGGAGTGTCACCCTTCGGTTTATGTTCGACAGATTAATTAAAGAGGAATAGAAGGCCGATATTGCGAATGAGGTTGATGTGAACGTGAATTCTCAGACAGTCTGGCTTCCATTGGATCTTGAACTGAAGAAAGAGTCCTATGTTATAGTGTGCCACAGCATTCAAATGACACCTGTATATAATCGCGGTAAAATGAATCGGTTATCTGTTATTGCTTGTCATGGGTCACTTGATTGGGCAGTTGGATGCTGCTGACATAGGAGTGATATGTGGATATTTCGTTGGTATAATAGGAGTTGGAATATGGGTTGGCATACATTCGGGTAAACATAAAATTTGGTTCATATAGGCTTCTTGCTGGAATCGAGGAAGTGTTGGTGGATACTTTTTAGCGGGTCGCTCAATGAACTGGGTCTTGGTTAGTTTCACTTAGATCATGAATGGTAAAAAACAACTAGGTCGGCTCATCGCTGTTTGCCAGTAACATAGGATCCGGACATTTCATTGGACTTGCAGGTGCTGGTGCAGCTTCGGGAATAGCGATAGCCGTCTTCGAGATAAGTGTAAGATGAAGAGACTAGACTAACAAAATGTGCAGGCAATATTTACGCTTGTTATCCTCGGATGGGTCTTTGTACCAGTGTATACAATATCTGGAGTAAGTTCACGTGAATTCAAACTCATTCATATTGAACTTGTTCATAGGTTTATACAATGCCGGAGTATCTGAAGAGACGCTTCGGGGGAACCGGACTGCAGTTTTATCTTGCATTCATGGCTCTTTTTCTGTACGTGTTTACGAAAATTTCGGTGAGTGAGAGTACTGATTTTGACTGAGCGTATGAGAAATTATAATGTTCCAGTATGAGAATCACACTCTAAATGAGTAAATGAATTCCATACAAGAAATAAGAATATCTAATGGGGACATGCAAAATAGTAATAATGTATACAAAATGTGACCAACAATAAAATATATAGGGTTCTGGAGATCTGTGCAAATTAATTTCCACTACAGCCCAATACAAACTAGAAGGGCATTCTGCAGTTTCACATTGGAGGGCAGTTTACTCCAGTTAAAATTCGCGTTTAAGCCAGATATATCAGGGTTTGTTGGTTTCGGTCTCTTGCGCGCAGGTTACAACAAGGATGTATTGAAAAATGCTATTTGTAAATTCCCGAATCACCGCAAAGTCGAAATGTTTACGGTCACCAAATCGACAATGAGGCCAGAGTGCAACTGGTGAACAAGCCACAATTCGGTTCATAAGACGAAAATGCTGATAGATATCAGGCTAACTGTTAAATGTGGCTAGATCTACAAGCAAAGCGTTGGTTGTACAAAAGTTAATCTTGGTCTTTCCCGTGGAAGAGTTGACACAGCAGCGACAATAAAGCAAATGCAAATGAATGGTGCCAGTGGCGTCATCAAACAAATGAAACAGGACAAGCCTTTGAGACACCGAGTGATATGTGCAGCAGAGCACTTTTAATTTTTAAGCAAGAACAGCAGAAGCTTCTTCACAACCCAACATTCTCCTTAAAACTTCTAATGTTTTTTCATAAATAGTTAATAGAAATTTTGAGTGTATTAATATAACGGTCAACTTTTGCTCGTACACGATATTTGCACGCAAAGTTTCACAATTGAGCATGAAAAAGCGCTTTTGTACACTATAAACACTGAATAGAGAGCTGATTCCTGCAGGTGTCCCAGGAGTTGGAATCAAAGCCCTCCAAAATTGAGCGCATCGCGTGATCTAATGTCACATTTTCTTGTCTGTTACGGCGAAACTTTGCCAGAATTTTACCTGTGTTTTGTCAAAAATTGAAGGCGTTCGGTTTTGCCGATACACTTTTTGAAGACAAAGATCAAGATGTACAAGGTTCCCGCATGTCCTTAATTGAAACAAACAGAGAGGGAGACAATGACTGTGCAGAAAGTCAAGCATTTTCTTATATAGGCTCCGAGTGTGACGTGTTACGATGCATGACACTGTTTGTAGATCTTCTGCCGCTACAACGTGTTGGCTTGAGGCCTTCCAGTGAAATTGATAGGAGCATGACTAAACATCAGCACACTGTGAGCACCGAATATGATTAAGCGTCTTCTCACAAAACACAGTCTTCTGTAGGATTGCTATCACTCCATCTACAGCAGTGAACATTGCCAATACCATTTCCATACCAATACCATTACCAATACCAAAATCTGCTTTTACCAAAGCCACAAATAATGGCTGTTTAGTTGTGGAAATTCTGTCATCTTCTTAAGAATGGGCACGTATTTGGATCTAATTGCAAATTTATGGAAACTTATCAGGGAGGCAGAGAAAGGATTTGTAAGTTTAAAAAAAGACGTTAACAGTTAAAGACCGGACAACGTGAAAGCTCTAACACTTGCAACAAATTTTGTTTTCTGGTACATTGGCCTCCTCCTTAAAATTTGGCTTACTATCACCCTATATTAATACACATTGATAAAAAACTTTCATAAAATTTGCAGTTTGTCAACATAGGTCTAGAATCAGACAGTTTTCTTGTTACGTACTTCGGCAAAACTTTTTGGTATAAAAGATGTCATGCCTTTCTACCTGGCGTCGACCTCATTTGTGAAGAATGAGATCCTCACATATTCATCCAAGACGTTTAGTCCTAAATAAACAGAAAGTTTATATTTTATTAAGTCGTTCAACTATGCGCGAAAAAACTTAATAAAACTGCAAGATGACCTGGGTCAACGAGCAAGCAACCAGAGTGGTATAGTGCATTCATGCTCCTTGAAAGCTGGTAACGACCTGTCTTTGAGGAGAAGACGTATACTGAATAATTAAAAAGAAGGGGTCTAAAAGAAATTTCTATGAAAATAAATAAACAAGAGCAAGAACGCGTCCATCTTTCTCAAAGAATTACACTTTTTATCTCAATTTGTTTGAACGGCTAATGAAAAATATCCAGTTCCCTCAAAAGCTCCTAATAAATAAATATTTTAGGACTACCTCCATGAAAGTATTTAAGTACTCGCGACTTATTTTGTTAAGTATGGTTTAAGGAGTATGGTGTACGTGGGGGTAAACAAATCAGGCAGAATAAAAATAAACGCATTACGGTAATAAAAGCTACCCTAAAAGTAGTGCCTTTTTATTGAATAATTTAAGGCGATCAAACGGTTGAATTTACACGAAGTCTCACCTATCAAGGAATCAAATTTAAGCAAATGAGGCGAAGGTTTATGGAGCAACTCAAAATTGCGGTCAAAGAAGTTGCGCCAGATTTTGGTTTACTTTATTTGGTCAAAACTTTTATTGGCAGTTTTCATTACAATAGCATGCCTGACTGTGTATTTTGCTTCTGGACATCATCACTCACTAAGATGTAAAACAATTTAGAAACCACAAAAGCACACGTAGAATAAAAGAAAATTTCTTAAAGTAAGCAAGGCACAAGATAAAAAGAATTATTGATGGTTTGAATTGCAATTGTATACACGCGGGTGTCTCAGTTACTTTGTAATCAGAGCGACATGTTACATATTTTCTCTAAGTTGATGAGTTTTATTTGGCAGTAATCTCAATCGAATAACATTCTTGGTAGTATCATCATCTATGATAATGTTGGGAAGAGGCAGTATAGGAGTGTCTACAGCGGCGACTGGAGCCTATAAATAATCTAACAGTTGAATAGTTGACTGACAGGCAACCAAGCGGTAGACCGAAGCTTGCATTTATAAAAGCACAGTAAGCGCCGTCGATAACAAAGCACACAGTGCACTTAAAATGCATTGTTTTGTTGGTGCTTGTGTTTATGAAAGGATCAAACGCCGCTAAGCACAAATTTTGTTGGAATCAATCCTCAAAGACTAGTCACGCAACATGAAGACATGAGCTATCAAATGATTGAATATGAAAATCACTAAGGGTAAAAACGCATAAAAAACTTAAAATCACGCACCTGAACACCAATGAACAGCAACGATTTCAGCAGTGGCAGCAGCCTATTGCTGGGTAGAATGATCCCATCATTCAAACTGGGTATAGGATAGACGAGAATTAATGTGGGAGGCAAGGCACTTCATCCGCCAATGTACAATTCCAGGTTTCGTCAACTTGTGAGTTATCAATAACGGCTCTTAGTTTTGGAAAGAAATTGTGCTCAGATTTACTTGTAGAGCACAAGGTTAACGTTCCAAGCTGAACGTTTCAAGTCAATAGCTTATTAGGGTGGTAGAATGGTCGTTGTTATTAGCACTAAGCGTACTAAAAGTACCGACGGGTAGTGGATTCGTTTTCATCATAATTGTCATTGCCAATAAAGCCAAGGAATAACGAAGGTGTCACACTGCTATCCAATTATGTTTAATGATTTAAACAAAGGTTTAGAATATGAAGAAAAATGGAACAGGAGTGAGAGGGAAAAGCAACCTTACCGCAAATATTAGAGGTGTCAACACCCTCCCACTCGGTCAGACAAACTGAACGGCAAATAAAAGCACGGGAACAGCTGACACCATTAAGTTGTCATATCGTGCTGTGGAGTTTATTGGTGCCGGGTAGAAAACAGAATAATGGGATTTTCTGCATTGCTATAATTCCGGTGAACAAAACACAACAGGTCACTCGACCAGCAAAAAGAATAAATTCAAGGCCAGATTTACTTAAACACAACCAGCAAACCACTGAAAACGGTAAATACGTTGCACAGAAGGAGGACAAGTAAGCAGGTAGCAAGCTCTTTAGTCATGAAATCAGTCACTCTCCGGCAGGTAGCAAGCTCTTTAGTCATGAAATCAAGGAATTTTCAGTCACTCCCCGGGACATAAGTAAGTGACCTTCCAGTGTGAACAAATGTTGGGTTGAGAAGTGGCGGTTATGAAGAAGAGTAAAACTGTTGACAGCCCTGATGGCCATAATGACAAGTTACTCGCTACTATTTGTCACTATCACGTACGACTGTGTCACTTTTGAAGGCCTTATTGCAAGACAGAGCAAGGTGTGATTTTGAGGCATGCTCAAATCTGCATCCTTAACTTGAATTCAAGTTAAACCCAGTATTAGTTTTATTCAAGTGCACGTTTTTATCCTAATTACTTAAAGTAGGAACAGGCGTCTGCTGACGAAACTTGTCAGGTTCCGTTTACATAGACGCTTATACTAACGAGGAGATTAACTCAGCACTAAAACTATCAAATGATAATAACTGTATGTCATTAACTGAAGCTACGTTATATAGAATAAATTATGTTCCGTGATGTTTTACTGGTATCAAAATTGTGTGGATAGTTGAAAACCACAAATAATACTTTTGACCTGACTTTTTTGCGGAAAAACGGTTGCAGAGCTCTATTCTGAACCAACGAAAAGCAAAATTAAATTAGTCCCTAGTTGTTTCTTAGAGTTTTATAAAATTTAGTTTTCCGATCATGCTAGGCAACACTAACCAAATTGATGCAACTTTGTTGCCCTGGGGCTATTTTGGTGAATTTTTGTTGATGGAGACTAATTCAACCGTGACACTTATATTAAAAATACGCGGAAAAACCAGTTTGAATTTAAAAGCGCATAACACTTTCAAAAATGTAGGAGAAATGAATTGAAATTAGAAGCGGAAATTTCAAGCCAAATTAACGGACGAGCTTGTAAGCTGCACAAATCCATAAATGAAGCTACTCCCACCGTTTCACGAACGTCATTGTGCAAACTGAGCACACTTATTCTAGACACATCAGAACTTAATAGTCAGCATTACTGATATAAAACGGGTAAGATTTCCAACCGAGTTGCACGTCGCGATTACTTACACATCGCTTTGAA